GAGGGTAAATTTACCTGCTGCAAAGCCTGATGACCCGAGTTGGATCCAAATAATGGAGAGAGAGAATCAACTCCTTCAAGTTGTCCTCTGGCCTGAGAGAGCTATGGAACATTTGTACTCACCTCCCCTACCCACACAAAATAAATGAATAAAGTATAATGTGAAAATATAAAATAAGGTCATCAAATTGGTTTCTGTGTCTTTCAAGGAGCTTTGAGACCCAGGTTGCTACCACTCTGGGAGTCACATGAACCACCTCCACCCATCCCTCACCCTACACCTACCTTCTCCTGTGAACCAAGGAGCCCCCACCACCAGATGCTGTTTCTGTGGGCCCGGGAATAAGTTTTCCCTGAGTTGTCAGTATGCGCCTTCTGCCTAGGGTGCCAGGTCCCAGAGGGAGAAGGCAACTGTTGTAAGATTGTATGCCTAGGGTCCTACCTTGTCACTGGACATTGGAGCTCATAGCATCTTCACTGAAAACACCTCGACATCATCCAACCCTGGGTCACTTGGGCGGTTGCCTCTCTGACTTGGCTGTTTACCTAGGACTTCACCCAAACACACGCAAACACCTTGCACATTCTAACACACACACTCACACCCTCTCCATTTAACACAAAACAAATAAAACCCTTACTGTCGCTGGCTGCAAATGAGAAGCTTCTAGGCTCCTGCCCAGCCCAGGCCTCCAGCTAAGTGAACTAAGAAGAAGGGCCAGAGACAGTATGTGCTCCCGAGTCACAAGACTTTGGGCAGGTGGCTTCTCTCTGGCTCAGATTGACCTGGTTATTCCAAAGGTCTTTGGGTGTTGGGAGAGGACATGTGTTCCTCAAAGACTTTTCTTGGCAGATCTGTTTGGAGCAGTGCCTGGAGGAAGCCAGAACTACTCAGGGGCCCTGACCCTTCGAGAGAAACCCTGGGTGGGCGGCCCCTGGTCCCATTCCTCCCTTCTGCCTGTGTGGTTGTTTGGGGAACAGTTCCTGGAGAATGGGTGGCTCTCCAGATGGTCAGAGAGGAAATCGGAGAAGTTTCATGTGCTCCATCTGCCTGTGTGTACCATGCCCACCATCCTCAGCCCCCAACCGGCCCAGCGCCTCCAGTTCCCACAGACAGATGCCTTTCAACAACACCCCCCCTTCACTCTCCTGGGAGCCCTGTTTTCCCAGCTGGCCAGCTGTCTAGTCCATGAGCTGCTGGTTTTGTGTCATCACGTGCTGCAGGCCAGATGGGACCTGCCAACATCAGCTGCCAGGCTGCTGTGACGGGCAGCTGCCTCACACATACATGTCCCTGTGTGCCAGAGGTACGGCCTAACCCAGCTTCATTCCCTCTCTGCCCCACACTGTACCTCCACCCCAATGCCGTCACCATCCTGCCTACATGTGTCCTCAGCATGCCCCCACAGGGAGACACTCTGTGCTCTAGCTGCAGAAGGGAAGGCCCACGGAATATTCTCAGCACCTGGCAAGCCGTGGGAGCTTAATAAAGGTTAATCACGAGCATGGCACCCCTAGAACCTTTTCTAAGGTATCTGTAGCATGGGGAAGGAAGCATTCTGGAATATCTACAGTAGTCAGCTGCCACAAAGGTCTGGCAGAGTGTGACTCTGGGGACAGGTGGGGCCCAGCCCTGCTAAGGGACAGCCTCCCAGCCAGGTTAGATAGACCAACTGCTCACCCGCCAGGTTGGAATGTAGGTCCCCTTCACCCCAACAGGAAAGCTGCTAGGGTCAGGGAGGCTGGATGACAGGAAAGGGGGGGACTGAAAGGGCAATGCAGTCAAAAAAGAGCACAGCAGATGTCCTGAGAGGCACAGCCAAGGTGGCTAGGCAGGGAGCACAGCAGAGCCTCAGCTGTCTGCTGCACAGATGCAAGGGGCCTGCTGACCAATGTCCTGTTGTTGACAGGGCAGGTGACACCAAGAAACCCACATCTGGTACTTGCACAGGCAAACAGTATAATTCCACCCACCCATCCACCTATATTCACCATGAGCTTCCAAACATTCTGGACAGCACTGTGCTGGGCTCTGGTATGTCAGCTGTGAACAAGGCAGATGTTGTTTGTGCCCCTGCTGAGTCTTACGCAGCCAGGAGATGAATATGGAGGGCCATGAGCCAGGTCTTCAGATCAGAGGAGTCTGCCTTCTTCAGGGTGCCCATTTCTACGGCCTAGTCATGCCCCCGGCTCAGCCCATCCCCCACTGTCCTCCCACACCTCAGCTCCCTGTAGGCCCATTGCAGAGATCTCTAAGGACTACCAGGCTATCGCTGCCACTTAGGGATTCCAACTCCACCCCTTACCAGCAGGCTTACTCTTACATCCCTTATGACCATGTGGCCTGAGACAACTCAGACCTACCAGGCAGGGACCCTACAACCACCACCATGGCTCCACCTTGACCCTTTCTAAACATCCTTCCTGCCCCAGGACCTTAGGCTGCCTTGTCCTCACAGAGTTCCTTGGACTGGGGCAGAGGACCCAAAGAAGGACCCATGGATTGTCTACCAGGAAGCAGGCTGTAGCCTGTGCTGTAGGTAGAAAAGGAAATCCAGGGAGTACACAGTATATCTTCATGCCTCCTCAGAGGCAGAGTCCACAGCCCCTGCTCAAGTCATCATGGGGAGTTCCTCACCTCACATGTCCTGGAAACAGGGCATAAAGGGCACAGAGTGAAGAGAAGAAACGGAGAAAGGATGTTATCAGACTCCATTGTCTCTGACATAGACACCATGTCCGCTGTTGGTCCAGGTGGAGAAATAGAACAAGCAAGAAACATGAGCTGTAAAGTGACTCTCATGGGGAAACAGATTCAAGAAGTGGAGTGGGGTTGGGGGTGGTGAATGTCCGTGGGTGTGTGAATGTGTGTATATGTACATGTGTGTCAGTGTGTGTGTTTGCCAGGCAAGTTATTATCTATTTGTGTATTGTGTTATGTACAAATATGTGCATGTGTGCATATGCACATGCATTTACTCTTGAGAGAGGGGTAGCGTGTTACCTTGAATGTCTTCCTCCATTGCCTCGCCACTTATTTTTAAAGGTAGAATCTCTCACCAAACCCAAAGCTCATGGATTCAGCTGCGCTGTCTCCAGAAGCTCCGGGAATCTCCTGTCTCTACCTTCCCAACACTGTGACCAAAGACACAGGCCACTGTGCCTAGCTTTTGTCCACGAGTGTTAGGGATCCAAACTCACGTCTTCATGCTTGTGCAACAGACAATTTACTGACTGAGCCATCTTTTCCACCCCTTGTATGTCTATTTTCCTGTGTCTGCATACCCATGTCCTTGGTCATCACTGTGTCTAAATGAGACAGTGTATTGTATACATGTTCTTCTTATGTTTCCAGGTGTGCTCCATGTTTGCATGTGTCTGCGTGTATGAGCATCTCAGATGCTCATGAGCACCCGTGTATTGTATACATGTTCTTCTTATGTTTCCAGGTGTGCTCCATGTTTGTGCTATTGCCTTTCTTTAAAGTTTTCCTGAAGTCCATGTAGTCCAGGCTGGCTCATGTAGCTGAGGATGATCTTAAATTCCTGATCCTCTTGCTTCTGCCTCACTAGTGCTCCTCAGACGTGTGCCACCGTGCCCATGTGTAACTGCTGTATTTTGCTGGCACTGATGTGCCCGTGTGTTTGTATACAGGTGTCTTTGGGGCTCTGTGTCCTTTTAAACTGCTTGTATGTGCTTTTGTGCTTACAGTGTGTGTGTGTGTGTGTGTGTGTGTGTGTGTGTGTGTGTGTATTTGGGCAGGGAGGGACTAGTTTAATTATGGGTGCCCTCACCCCACTATGAAATTATGACAAGACACTGTTGTGACCTAGGCCTGTCTCGGGTTGGTGACTCACCCGTAATGTTGTAGGCCACGGACCAGCAAGTCCCCACGCACAGCCTGTGAGCCTGTCACTGGGCCCTGAGTCTGGCTGGGTTTAGAGCCCAGAGACTGTGTGTCCCTGACTCCCCTCCTCCAACCTGGAACCAGCTGGAGCCTCCCACAGCCCACATGGCGCCCCTTCCAGGCTGTGGACAGCCCCCGGGGCCTGCTACACAGGACTGCACTGGGTACAGCTGGGCTCCAGGGCCAGCAAAACTGCAACGCGGACACCCACTGAGAAGCACAAAAGGACATAAGGGTAGTGAATGGCTGCTGGACCCTCAGTGAGCATCTCCTCCTCAGGCCAGCCTGAGCTCTAAGAGGACACCCCTAAGTTCAGGACCGCTGCCATCTGGCTGCCCTCCAGGACCCACAGCAACCCACATACCTCCGTAGGACCTAGGCTTCTGAGGTGTAAGGGGTGTTGCTAATAGAGTCACAGCATACAGTTACACATACCTGGCTGAGTGACAACAGGTGCTGAGAGCCAGGCTAGATTCTGCTTTCAGGCAAGGAGCTCCAGTGCCCAGCTGCCCTGTCTCCCCACATATTTGCTCAGTGGGGACCGTGCTCAGTGGGGCATCTCTCTAACAGACAACTTGTTGTCATTCTCATAAAAGATGTTGTCTTCCTCTGGTTGTTTGACTGAAGGGAGACCCAGCCTTGGTCATCAGCCCTTGACCCTGTGCTTGTCTCTAACTGTCCATCTCGCAGAGTCCCCTCCATCTCTCTGGCCCTGGCCTATCCCTATAGGCTTCTCTCTTCTGAGGCCGTCAGTGGGACCCAAAAGTCCTGCTTTAATATGAGCTCCCCTTTTATTGAGGTAACCAGACCTAGGGAATTTAGTAAGTGGCCTCTCACCACACCTACCCTCTGCCCCGTCCCTGCATCCCACCTCTGTCCTGACCTGCCTGATCGCTATCCTAGACAGCACAAGCTGAGGGCCTTATCTCAACAGAGCAGGAAACAGTGATGCATCTTGTCTTCGAAGCCACTGTAGCTCAGGTGCTCCAGGAGGTCCCCTGACTCCAAAGCTGACCCTGAACCCTCCACTCAGATACACCCTAGCTCAGTACCTTTGCCTGGCACCACCCTGCCCCACAGTGACTGTAATACTGTGCTGATTCAGTGTCCTTTATTTCCTTAGGAAAGTAACTGGGGGATCTTGGGGAGCATGGGGAAAGCAGATTGTCCCATCATGGTAAACCTGGGTAGAAGGAACAAAGATAAGGTTTGAGGATGGACCCTAGGGTGGTTCTAAACACTCTAGTAGAAACAAAGGGCACCCTGACCCCATCCCTCGAAACTTAACTTAACCCAGGGAAGGGAGCTGGCCAATGATGTCTCCTCCCAGGGAGTGGATGCAGGAGGGCACCCTGTCCCCTTACCCTTCAAGACTCAGCTGGGAGCCATGTAGCGGTTGCTATGAGGTGTGTCTCGATAGAAGGGGTCAATTGAAGCCAAGGTCCTGCAGGAAGAAGGGAAGCCGATAGAAGGATGGGTGACCAGGTTTGTGCCTCTCTCCTCTGCCTCCCTTCCTGAGATCCCAAGAGCCCACAAGGCCAGCCCAGACAAGGACAGCCAAACCACAGATGTTCTCTGCCTGCCAACTGGCGCCTTCACTGAAGAGCTGATCAGGAGTCACGGAAGGGGCAGGGCTACAGCTCATTCATCTTTAAGTCTATCCTCCACAGCCCCAACACCATGGAGGAGAGGAGACATGCAGAGGAAGGACTCACCAGACAGAGCCGAGGGAATGAATCTGGGCAGGCAGGAGGCCAGAGGCCATTTAAGACCAGCCTGAGGAAATGGCCTCACAGACACAGCAGAGGCAAGGGGTAGGGCTGAGCCAGCCTAGAGGAGGCTACCGAGTGAGGAAAGGGGACAAGGGCAGAACTGAGGTGGCATACTACCTTCCCACATGGGGGTGCAGTTGCCGCAGGGTCTCCGTAGGGTTGGGGGTGGAGTCCATGCGGGTGACTGGCTCATTGAGAGCGTAGCCTACTGGTTTCTGGGGCTGGATGCCACCTCGAGTCCAGCCTTCGCGGTCCAGCCCCTTGGGGATGTTCTCAAAGTACCTAATGTGACGCAAGATGCAAGGGTCCTTGACCACTGCTTGCCTCTCTCTGAGGCCTGTCTCACACTTCACGACCAACAGATCTTGGGCTTCAGAGCTCAGTGCGTGTATATTGATAAGAGGTGTGTTGGGAGGAAGCCTGGTTTTCCCCCGCCCCCACCAAACCACTTCCTGTGGGCTACTAAATGCATAATTCCAGCACTCAGGAGGCAAAGACAGAAGGAGCTATTGCCACAAGCTCTAGGCCAGTCTGGTCTACAGAGAAAGTTCCAGGCCAGTCAGGGCCACATAGCAAGACTATCTAAAAAAAAAAAAAAAAAGGGAAAGGCAGTACACTTCCTTTTTGCTGTTCCTAGATGCCCCTCCAACCTGGTGCTGGTCTCAGAAGCTGCCCCAGCGGCTCTTGGGCTGCCTCCCCTGGAAGCCCTCCTCCAGGCTCATAGCTTGCCTATGAGGGAGCACTGAGCCTACCTGGCATGCAATGGATGCGATACCTTAGCAACTTACCCTTCCTGAGCCCACCAGCCTGGCCCTAACATCTTGCTCTGCCTGTCTGTGTGAGAGCTACCCTTGAGTTGCTAAACCTGCTTCTGAGCAAGGAGCCCCCATGAAGCTTAATGTAACCCTGGAGAGAGCTTTTTAACTAGTGACTAATGGACCTGGGATGTGACAATACTGGAGGGGGTAGCTTAGAGCTGCGTGCCTTACACTGTTGTCTAGAGTTTCTGCCACAGGACAACTGGCCTCATAACAGCCCATCATTGTCTACTTTCCTTTGCCTTCAACTTCCACATGCCCCCCTAAAGACCACTCTCCAAGTGAAGGGCTGGCACACAATGCTCAGCTGACCGTCTGTGTCTGGGAGAGTTCAGCGTGGGTCTTAGTTCTCCTTCCATAGGTTATGGCCTCATTATCTGCTCTGCCTCATTTGCAGTCTGTCAAATGGGTCTCAGCTTTCAGCCAGGAAGGGAGCCTCACCCTTGGTTGTAGGTAGTCAGGTACCGTTGATCTCTGTCAGGTTCATGGGTGTTCCGGACATAGCTCGGGTTGTTAATAGTGAACCCTGTGGGCTCCTGCACAAAATGGAGACAGGGTGGTCAGGACTCAGGAGCAGTTAGAGGCAGGGATGAGCATGGCACTCTTACCTTGTTCCCCACAGACTCTCTGCCAAGCATGGCAACATTTGTCTGTTGTATCCTCTGGGGAGGCTGGTAGGACCTGTGGGTCACGCTGGCAGACTGTGGGCTTGGAGCAGGCATCTGTAAGGAATAGAGCCACAAGATGGGAGGCTGGGTGGCCGGCTAGGTCTTAGGACAGAAGAAGGATGGGTAGAGGTGCTTCCACCCCTGCCAAATCATTCCATGTTTCAAAGCACAGCCCCCAGCTTCACACTCCCTCTGAGACACCCTTCATCTACTTCTCCAGATAATCTGTCTGCTCCCATTCTTCCCTGCTGGGCCCCTGTCACTCACTCTGGGGTTCAAGACCCTTTCATTCACTCGGCTGTATCCTGTGTCCCGATCAGAGCCTCTGGCCAGCACAGGGAGAAACTCACTTCCCTGAAGGGAGCAAAGCAGCCTTGGGTACCACCCCTTCAAAATTCCAACCCAGGTGCAACTGTCCTCACAGGTGGCCATGCCGCCCCCTCACACCCCCGCAGGAGCACAGAGCCTACCTGAGAGTGACTTATAGGGAGGAAGTCTGACTTGGTGACACTCCGTCCTGGGTGGAGGACCTGGAATGAATAGTGAGAAATCAGCTTAGCCTCCCTTGCCCTTAGTGGCTCCCATGCCCTCCAACTCCGGCCTTTGCTGTTATCAAGCATGCAGAAGGACTCTGTATAGACAGGTTTGACTAGCAACTGAGGAACAGGCAGAGTTTGTGTAGAATGACCAACCCCAAGGTCCTGAATGGCAGTCAGCGGGGAAGGTTCCCATCTGAGCACTTAGTGACCTCGGCCCTGCCTCTTCATCTACTTGGACCTCAGTATTCTCATCTGTAAAGTGGGATTCTGAACCACAGCAGTGGTGTTCTCTCTTGCTCTTTCATTCCATACTTGACTGGAGGGGCTTTGTGTCAGAAGTCTCAAAAGTAAACTATAAAGCCCTAGTCTTGAGAATTTCAATGTTTCTGAGTCTACACTTACAGGGTCTCCAGGAAAGGCCTGTGAGGGCGGCTGGAAGACAATGGGATTCTTGGTAGACTCTTCAGTGAAGCCACTCTCTTCTTTGGCGCCAATTGTCTTCTTGAGCAAGAGATCTGCAAAAGCCACAGGTCTCTGTACTTTGTAGGGCTGCCTCAGTGTCCCAGCATGAGAGGGACAGACTTCAGGCTCCAGGCCAGGAAAGCAGAAGGAAGAATGGGAGTTGACAGACCAGGAGTAGCTGTGGGCAGGTCCTTGAGACCTGCTACAACAGCAGGCCAGAGCCCTGAAATCAGTGCTGGGACAGGACACAGCTCCCTGAAGCTACCGGTATGTCTGTTCTTCTTTCTCCCTTGATGGCTTCTGAGAACTGTACTAGCTCCAGTGCCCCGAGTCTCCCCTAGGAGTTGGAGAAGGAAGACAAAGTTGGGAGGGCCTACCTGGATGGTTTGGAGGCTCCTTGATATACTTGGAATTGTACTCAGAAGTCATGAAGCGTGGGCCCTGGAACACACAAGGCAGGACAATAGGGACCCAGTGGGCCAAGGTGGGAGGTGGGTATTCCATGATGATAGTAGTAGCTCTTTGGATACATGAACTCCCAATAGGCCTTAGAGGAGGAAACTAACACAACACCCCAAAAGACATCTAATATGCCTGATGAGGCATGGCTGTGTCCCAATTGCCTCCATGATAATTCCAAGTCACACACCATGTTGAGTTCCTGGAAATGACCTGGAGGAACCCAGACAGAAGCAAGGGAGTCATGATGAAGGGAGAAAAGCTAATGGAAGAAAATACATATAAGCTTGGTCATGAGACACATGGGACAAGGCAGGGTATGGTGGCCACTTTGATGCAGTTGATAACTATCAAACTGAAAATGCCTTGCTCTCTGCATTGTTTCTTGGAGCCCGAGACCGTATGCAGTAGCTCCCGGGGGACAGTAATCCCAGGTCCAACCTCTTCAGGCGGAGGAGGCTGGTGTGACCCCCAGCCCTTCCCATTCCAGCCCCAGCAGACACCCACTCACATAGTGTGAGTTCTCCCACTCTACAGAGCCCTTGCCCTGATGCTGGTGGAGCGGGGGAGCCTCCTTGGGCTCCAGTCCTGTGATGGTCTGAGGCCCATGATCCTGGGTATCGAAGTGGACCTTCCTAACCTGGAGGAGGGAATACAAATGGTTATCCTGGCAGGTGAGGGAGTGCCATACACTTTCTACCCTCCTTCTACAGAGCACCTTCACGGCAGTCTGTCTGGCTCTATGATAGCGAAGCCAGTGGGGTCCCTCCTGTATCAGAGCTTGCAACATCTTGCTCATAGTGACTCTCATACCCTGGCAGCAGTCTGTGGGAGCTTTGGGTCCTCAAGCTGCTGCAGGCACTCAGCTCCTTGTTGGGCCCCTCAACTAGAGAGTCCAGCCTCAGGGCCTTGGCACTGACATACTGCCTGGAGCACACATCCCTTAGATAGCTATGGCTAGAGGAATGCTACCCTCTTTTGAACCTTTCCCAGTGTCACCATAGTAACCTCTGCCCCAACCCTTGGGCTTACACTTCATCTCTCCTTCTCCCATGTTGCATTTTCCTCTACTCTTATCCCTTCCGATTTTTTAAAATTGATTTTATTTTAAAAGATTTATTACTGGGGTTAGAGAGATGGCTCAGAGGTTAAGAGCTCTGGCTGCTCTTCCAGAGGACCTGAGTTCAATTTCTAGCAATCACATGGTGGCTTGCAACCATCTGTAATGAGATCTGGTGTGCAGGATATATACAGATACAACAAATCATTAAAAAACCAAATAGATTTATTAGTATGTGTCTGTGCTTATGTATGCCACATGTAGACGGGTGTCCACAGAGGCCAGATGAGGGCATCAGATACCCTGGAGCTCGAGTTCGAGGGAGTTATGAGTCTCCTGATGTGGGTGCTTGGAACTGAAATCCCATCCTCTGCAAGGGCAACAAACACTCAATCTCTGAGCCACATCTCCTGTCATCATCATCATCATTTAAATTGAGATGCGGTCTCAGGTGACTCAGGCTGGCCTCAAACTTGTGTTATGTAGCTAAGGATAACTTTGAACTTCTTATCCTGCTGCCTCTGTTGCCCCAGTGCTAGGATTACAGGTATTTACTATTATTCCTGGGGATGGAGCCCAGGGCCATGAATGTTAGGCATGCACCCTACCCACAGCCTGAGCACACTCCCTCCAAATTTAAGATGTGCTCAAAACAGATTGGTTGGATGAATGAATACCTGCCCTCATGGCCATGGTGGTGGCTTGAATGATGGTAATGATGACAGAAGCAAAGAAGACGGGGTGATTATGACAGTGAGTGTGAGGCAGTGAGAACAGTGGCAAATGGCTTGAACATATGAATAGGACACTGGTATCTCTGAGGATGGAGTAGAGGTGAGGGTAGTGACAGGGCTGGGGGGAAATGGAGGTGGGAGTGATGGTGGGGATAGCGAGGATGAAGATAAGATCACAGTGGGGTGTGGCCCCTTGCTCTAGACTGCGGCTCCTCCATGCTATGTCATCTCAGCTTTGTGCAGTGGTTGGAAGTGCTGTTCCCGCTTGCTAGAAGGAACCCCCCTCCCACCCTGCCCTCCTGCACACATCCTGGGTTCACTCCTTCCCAGTGTGGGCCCGGGACTGACCTCCTTGGAGAGTGGCACAGTATTGAACTTCTCTCGCCCATAGCCAGAGGAGGTCTGGTACAGGTTCCAGGGTAATGGTTGCTTGCCATCAGGCATTTCTAGGGGACAGTAGCTCTGACTGGTCACAGACTTGGAAGTGTCATGGAGTTGTTCCCTAAGGGGTAGGAAGAAGCAAGAGCTAGGACCTCCAGGGCCATCTGCCTTTGTTCTGGGGCTGAAGGCTGTATTACTTATTCCCAGAAGCTTCCATCTCTCTCTCATCCCTCTCACAAGCATTGAAACTGGGCAGCATGCCCAGAGCCACCCAGGCCTTGCCTTGGAGCTTGGGGCAATGACATCTCTTATAGCTAAGATCCAGTAGAGCAGAGGTAGGAGGAAAAGGGTAATGGGAATTGTACCCTGTGGCTGGATTATCCATGGTGTCCAGTCGGGGTTGGTAGGAGACCAGGGTCCGATAGTTGGATTTGTAGCCTGTGCCTGTATGGCTTCCCATTCGGGGCTTGAACTCCTCACGACCTGCCAGGAGGCAAGAGGGAGACAGGACCAAAGGTCATCAGAAGGAGAGGAGTGGCTTCCCAGTCAGGGTTAGCATCCCCCAGGGCTCAGGGACCACTAAGCTAGGGGAATACTCAACATCCCAGGTGACAGGAGCTGGGTAGGCTTGACTCTTCAGAGGACTTTGATGGCAGGAAACAGCCAATGGCATGGGGACACAAGAACCATGTGGCAGACTGGCTGCAGTGATAGGGCGAGGGAAGGGGGCAGCAGACAAGGCCAGCTTGGTAGTGTAAGCCCTTGGGTTCGGGGAATAATAGATTAGCTCTGTGCAGCAGGTCACTGTGGTAAGATTGACCTAGAGACTGTACCTCTCCTGGCCCTTTCCCACCCAGGATCCTGAAGGTAGCTCCCACATAGGGGGTCCTCACCATATGATGTGCAGTAGCTGGTAGCATAAAACTTCAGAGGGTCAGAGCATCCCCCTGAACTCATCTTCACATAAGGAGAAACAACCCCAAGAGGGAGTTTTCCCATCATGGTGCTGTGGGGCAGGGCCCCGTGGGCCTGAGAAGAAACCCAGGAAGCCCTTAGGAGTCCTGATCCCGGCTCCAACCTCAGCAGTGACAATAACCCCTCATGTCTTGAATCCTCTTCATAAGGCCCCTGTCCCCATTTCTGGACACTGCTTCCCAAACCAAAGGAAGAACCCATCTCCGACTCTCACACTGGTTTGTCTCATGCCTGCTTTCAAATGCCCCCATTTTAGAGCTAAGAAACTTCAGTGCCAAGAAATGAACTGAAGCTCTTAACAAGAGACAAGAGCTGGGATTCAGACCTGGGGTATCTGAATTCTGGTCCTCTGGTCCTCTGGTCCAACCCCCTCCCAACATGTGCATCTTAGGGAGAACATGACCAGATAACTGCCTACCTGGGATTTCTCTCCTGTGAACTACCCCCACCCCCATCTCTTACTCAGTTGCTTCCCCAACCACCTCCTTCTGGAAGTTCTCTGTGCTCTCCCAGGGCCCTAGAGAGTAGGCCCCACCCTCACCTGCCCTCTGCAACTGGCTCTGAGGTCGGTAGAGGCCACAGGAGGCAGGAGCAGCACAAGAGAAGCTGGCCCTCCTAAGGTGGAGATGGCCAAGCTAGAAGAAACAGAGTGTTGCTTAGCAACCAGCACCTAGCAACAGTGTCCCAAGCCTCTGAAGCCCTTCTCAAGCCATGGCCCACTGAAGGGCTGACCTGTCCAGGAGGGAAAAGCCAGGCATAGCACAGACTTGGTCCTGTCTCCATGACTCTGGCTCCAGCTGCCTGCACAAGACCATGAACAGTTGCTTGTCTAATGAAATAAAAGATAAGTCTGAACAATCATTCCCATTTATAGAGTACCCACTTCTCACCAGACACTTTATATCCTTTATCTCCATCCTCCTATCCGCTCTTACAGGTAGCTATTATTATCCTCTCTTAGCTGGGGAACAAGTTCTTGGCTTAGACAGGCAAAGCAGCTTGACCAGCCGAAGACCTCATAATAAAAAAAATAATAATAATAAAATAAGCCAGTTGAGAGTCCACGTGGGTGGATCCTGATCCCACTCATGCCTCCTGGTAAATTAATGTTTACTATATTCTGCTCCAGCCAAATCTGTGCTAAGCTCTTTATACACATTACCTCTTACAATGCCCTGACTCTCTGATGAGCTTGGGGCTCTTGGTATATGGCCAATAACCACAGCAGTGGTTCAAGTCACAGCTCCAACCAGGCCTGTTGGCTTTGATAGTGTGTCTTTCCCTTTCACACCCTCACTTCTCCATCTTCATCAAGTATGTGATTTCTGGCAGAAAGTGTGGTCCAGCACTTGATGAAGGGAGGGGCAACATTGGTACTTACCTGCAAGCCGTGGTCTAGAGGCAGCCCCCAGCCAGCTCCATGGGGACTTCTGTTGTTAGCCTGAATGCCTCAAGCTGGTTTTCAGCCTTGTAAACATTGTGATAACAGTTGGATTTCCAGGGGTAGGGGAGGAGCTCTGATCAGTGTCTGCCAATGACTGGGGTGCAAATTCTCCCATCACTGCTGCTTTCCAACAGCTAATGCAGTCTCCCAAGTGGAAACCTTAAATAATTTCATTTTTAAGACAATACGGGTTAACAGTCAACCTATAGGTTTCCTGCCTTCAGCTGTCATGAGTGTGTGAGCTTCTCTTGTGGGACAAGTGAAGAAAAGGAACACAGAAAGTAGCCACCCTGCTTAGGATATCTGCATGTCACATTAGCCTTATCAATACTAAGGATCATGAGCATGCTATACCCCAACAGAGAAACCCTGGACTCAGAAGTGACCATAGTCTAGGAGGGCTTCAGGACAAATTGAGGCACACTGGATTCTCACCCTCCAAGGTCATGACTCAGCCCAGAGATCAGGGCCTACAAGGAAACAGGAGTGAATGCACTCAACCTTGCCTTCATCAAGCAGTTCCCAGCTTGCCAACAGAGAGGCTCATGGGTACTCCACACAGGAAACATGGGAAGATTGAGACGGCCAAAGGCAGAGAGAGCTGTGCTTCTCCAGGCACCCCTGGAGAAGAGGTCACAGACTGAGCTCAGATTCTGACGCCGGGTGGCATGTGCTCTGGCTCTGCCACTAAATGCATAGGGAACTTGGTACTGGGTATGTGTGCCTGAATAGCCCTTTCCAGAAAACAGGGACAATGACAACTGCCCGTGGGTTGCAGCACAAATGGAGCACTTAGTCAAGCACCAGTGCATGATAAAGGACATCTACTGAGTTAAGGAAAGCCCTAGAGAGAGCTTCCGTGTGTGTGTGTGTGTGTGTGTGTGTGTGTGTGTGTGTGTGTGTGTGTGTGTGAGTGTGTGCATCGTTTGCTTGTCAGAGGGCAGCCTCAGTTTATGACCTTAGGCATTTCCTGTTGCTGTGACAAGACACTTACGGGTTTATTCCACTCACACTTCAAGTGTTCAGCCCAGTAAGGCAGAGAAATCAAAGTAACAGAGGCTTGAAGTAGCTGGTCTCATTGCATGCACAACTAGAAAGCAAAGAGCAGGGTCTGGAGAGGTGGCTCATTGGTTAAGAGCACTTCCTGCTCTTGTAGAAAACACCACTTCAGGTGACTCACAGTCATCTATAATTCCAGCTCCAGGAAATCCTATACCCTCTAAGAAAACAGCGAATGAATACAACCTACTGTCCAGCTACCTTTCTCTATTTTACACAGTCCAGACTCCCCTCCCTAGCCAGGAAATGGTGCTGTCCATAATTTAAATAGATTTTTCCCACATCAGTTAATCCAGGGGCAGAGGCAGAGAGACCTCTGGGGATTTGAAGCCAGCCTAGTCTACATATGGAATTCCAGGACAGCCAGGCCTGCAGAGAAACCTTGTATCAATAATAGTAATAATGATAATAATAATATAATCTATCTTCTAAGCATATCCTATGGCCCAGCTCCCAGTAAAATCTAGGTCCTGTCAAGTTGACAATGAGCACTTCCCATTGTAGGCTCCTTCCATATTTTGTTTGAGACCCAGTCTCTCAATGGTCTGGAACTCTGCCACATAAGTCATGCTATCTGGTCCCTGAGCTTCCATGAATCTGCCTGTCTCTATCTCCCACCCTGCCATGGCTAGAATGACGAGTCCATGTCCACACACAGTTTTATACATTGTAGCAGGCTTTCTTGGCCTGCCAGCCCCCAAATCCAAACATGGAGACTTATTATTAATTATGAATGCTCAGTCTTAGCTTAGACTGGTTTCTAACTAGCTCTTTTTGTTTAAATTAACCCATTTCTAATACTCTTTGTGCTGCCCTGTGGCCCATTTACCTCATCCTTTTACTGTTCATCCTGCTTCCCCATGTCTGTCTGTCTAGCCAGTCCCCTTTTTCTCTCTGCCCACCAGCCCCACCTACCCTTCCTCTGCCTTGCTATTGGCTTTTCAGCTCTTTATTAGACCAACCATGTACCTTAGGCAGGCAAGGTAAAACAGCAACACTTCTATACATAAACAAATACAGCATAAACAAAAACAACATGGCCGGGCATTGGTGGCGCACGCCTTTAATCCCAGCACTCAGGAGGCAGAGGCAGGAAGGAGTATCTCTGTGAGTTCATGGCCAGCCTGGTCTACAGAGCGAGTTCCAGGACAGGCTCCAAAGCAATATAGAGAAATCCTGTCTCCAAAAACAAAAACAAAACAAAACAAAACACAAAACCCAAACCAAAAAAAAAACCTAAAACAACACATCTTTACATAGTTAAACAAATGTAACATACCTTTACATAGTTAAACAATTATTCTATTCCACAACAATACATGGACTAGGGATCTGAACTCAGGCCCTCACGCTTGTGAGGCAAGTGATTTACCTACTGAGGCAGCTTTCTAGGGAAAAGGGTTGAAGCAAACAGTTAAAGACAGAATTCCATAGGATCTCACATGGTGGGGTGAAAGTAAGTTCTACTCTCAGTCTGAGCTCAAAAACTCTCCACTGTAGGACTTCTTTGAGCCTGTTTCTGCATCTGTAAGCCAAGAGGACACATCTGACTCACAAGGTCTTTGGTGAGGTGAAATACCTGACAACCATGTCTGGCAATCTCACAGGCAGACTAGGAAGGTAATGGCAAGCATGAAGTGGCCTTCAGCCTGGGTTCTGAGATGGATTCTGTGTGGCTGGAGAAGAGGTGGAAGGAAAGTTCTAGACAGCTCTCTTGGGCATCTTGAGCTGCTTAGGGCTGACAGCCCCAGGCTGCAGATCTTGTTTTTTGTTATGCAGCGACTTCCAGTGGCTGTGGTGCAAAACTGTGGGTGAGAACATTAATAGAGCTGGGACTCCTTGGAGTGGACAGATGGCTAGAACCTACGCACCCCTACCTACACATCTACGCTTTAGAACAAACTGGACAGGCCTAGATCTCATGAGGGGCTGAAGTCTAAGGGTTTCCCACATGGATGAAGGTCCTTGTAGCCAAATTGTATGACTTGGGCCTCTCTGTGTACCTAGGTTTTTCTACCTCTACGGAGAAGCTGACAATCTTCTCCATCGAGGTTGAAAATTCAAAGGCCCACATCACCCTACATTCTTCCCATACTCATTACTATGTATTAACTACTATCTCTGTGCTGGGCACCGACCTAGGAAACATCTCCCGGCTCTTTACTTTTGAGACAGGGCTTCATGACTACTTGCCACGTGGCCACTGGAGGCCTTGGATTTGTGATCGTGCTGTCTCCATCCCCAAGTGCTGAGATCACAGGCATGGGCTATTATGCTCAATTTATACAATGCTGAGGTTTTAACCCAGGGCTTTGTGTATGCCAGGCAAGCACTTTACCAATGAGTTACACTCCCAGTCCTCTCCCCATGGCATCTCATCAAGTTTTGGTCCAGCCCTAAGAGCTGGGAATTATTGTTAATAAGCCTGTTTTACAAATGGGGAGGCCAACTGCAGTTTCACAAGCGGGAAGAGGTGGCTCTTAGATCCAAATCCAGCTTTAACTCAAGAGTCCATTCCCTTCCT